AAGACAACTTCTATCTAACTTGGTGGATACTAAATACGTTAACATAGGACTCCATGACTCTGGCTCTTGATCAAGGGTCCTTAATGCTTGCATGTGTCCTTTTATTGAATCTGTAAACGCTCGAAGTTTAATTGCTGATTCTACTGTTAACGTCTCTAAATGAAATAATACTTTTACATGGGTTTGTATTAGACTTTTTTTATTGTTATATCTTTCAATTAATGTCCAAAATGCCACTGCGTAATTTGACGCCGTCGTTTCCAAACAATTAATAGCCTGTTTGGCATCGTCTTTTAAAGCCGCTTTCAAATAAAAAATGTTTTGTATGTCTGAAAATTGGTCATTGGTATGAATCAATGCCGAAAAAATATCATGAAATGTTGTCCATTGTTTATAGTCGCCATGAAATGATGGGATATCTAGCGGGGCTAATCTAATAGCTGGCGCTGTACTGTTGGTGTCGCTACGGTTGAAGATGTTGCTGCCGTATTCCCTACAACAACATCTGACGCGTTGCTGACTACCCTACTCAATTCAGATAGTCTCTTCTTCGCAATCGTACTGGCTTTAAATTATGAGTCTTCAAAATCAGCTCTTTAATTTTGCTATTACTCTACGTTTACCCCTTCTAGCATGTCGATTTCCAACTGTACTTGGTCGTACTCGCTCCATGCTTCCTCAATTTTTTCTCGTCTAACCCGAATTTCGATTAGGCCTGACTTTTCGTCTTGAAAAAATTTAAAAAATTTGTTCAATGCCGATTTTAATTGACCTCTTTTAATGCTCAATCGCGCAACTTCATTTTTTCGATTACCTTCAGGCATAGTTTGCTTTGTTAGTTTTTACCGATAATAAATAACTGTTCCAAAAGAAACCAACCGCCTCAGCTGACCGTTACTAATATATGTATATATATATATATATGTACGCTCTATTAACTGTCAGAGAGCGTTCGTGGTAATTTGAGCAAAGTACAACTATAACGATAGTACCACAATAACCGTTGTACGCCGACACTATAAATATTGCGCACGGGTTTTTTACACTTAACTATATTTGTTTCACAATACTTATGACGGTATCTAATGCACTTATACGAACTTTAAATTAAAATACGTTAATAATATATAATAATAATATTATATTCCGCGTATAGCAATCGCTGCTGCTACGCACTACGTTGGGTAGAAATTAACCCTTTTCTAACTCGATACGTTAGAATTATTTACAAACACGCACATACAATGCTTAACTTACGTATCCTAATAACGCACTTTCGTTACGCAAATTTTCGCACTTTCACGTTTCCGATATTCACTAGACGTTCCGGGTGAAGGACCATATGTTTCGGCTTGATCTCTTACTACTAAAAGATCTTCGATAAAATTAAATAAAAATGTAAAAGATGAAAAAATAGATATGCGTATATTATACGTATGCGAGCGGTGCGCTTTACAAAGGTAGACTGGTCGATTTTAAAACCGGACAACTATGCATCCGGCGAAACAACGATAAGATAAAAACCAACAATAACTACACTTATTGTGTAGGCTTAAACATATGGAAATACTTCGAATTCATTCTTATTTTATGGAATTACACATATTTGTAAATGTACAACCATTTGACATTAATTTTTTTTTTTTATTAACAAACATAATGGTAACTTATTGAACATGCATCTCTAATAATATAAATATTAAAAGTAGTTTTTTCAATACAAAATTTTATTTATAAAATATTTATTTTAAATTGTCCTTACTTTTCTCGGAATTTAGGAAAATATTTTTCACAGACAATACTTTCCTAAATATGAATTTAAACATTTTCTTTTTAATTACTTTCAAATTATATACCCTATTATCTTTAGTTTAAGTAATTAAAAAAGTGGGCATAGTCACTACTCTTTCACTCGGACTTAATAGTTCATCATGCACACAACATACCGAATTTTATGATAAAAATGGGTTTCAGTCTTATATGTTTATTGTCTTTTGTTGTTACATATTTCTTTACTTAGATCCCTACTTTTACAAGATAATTTCAAGTTTTTTTTAATTAGAAACAATACCAGATGAGTCTATAACTCCTAAAATCTATAAATTCTTTGGTCTTTTTGATAACACATTAATAAGTGTCTTACTGCTACCATAGTTCATCATTAGATTCCTCATTTCTAGAATTAAAATTTTAAATTATCCAACATTCTTCTATAAAACTTCTTTATTCTCATATTTTTTCTTACGCAAATCGCGGATTTTCACAAGATTATCTCTTTTTGTGGTTTATATATTCATATAATCACATAAGTTTATATTTAGAAAATCGTTCGATAATATTGTAATAATCGATAGTGCACAGCGATACTCACAAAATCTATTATCTAGTTTTTTAAACACTATTCATTATTATAATTTTTTTTTTAATGCCTATTATAATATAATATAATAAATTATTATTGTGTTTGATGAAAGTTTAAATTTAAACAGAAAAAAAAAATTCCTTTATTAATATTTGTAACCACTGAATAATTACAAATTGAGGAATTTCTTAGCTGCTACCAATTCAGCTACCCCTTAAATGCAGTTCTGCCTGCGTGTTAAACGTTCTATTTTAAGAAAATATAAATGTTTAGATTTTTCCATTTTCTTACGTTTAAAGATCTACTTTTTGGACAAATTTTGGATTTTATAAATCAAAACACACAAAAAACATATAAGCTTACAATCTTGCCTCCCGACCACTCAACATAGACGCCACTCTGAACCTGACACTAAACGTGGTCTCCAGTCGGGACCTCAAAGAATCCCGATCCTCCACAGAAAGTGGGTGTGTTTGGTCAACCTACTTCTATACCAGGTCAGATTCAACGAGGGACACAGTGATAAAAGTAATTTTTTTTTGTGTATATACACGACCGGCATAAAAGTGAACCACTCTGGAGCTACCGTGAAGTATTACTTCAGAGCGGCCCACGCCGTCTCCAGAACTCACTCCGCCACGTTGTGAATCAGTCCGAAATTAATCAAGAACTGATTCACAACGTTGTGTGGCCTCCCCCGATAGCCAGATCCCAAAATGGGATCTGTTGCCCGGGTTGCACTACGTGGGGTTGGTGGGAGAAGGGCTTTGCGAAGGGGCTTATAACTCACAAAAAACATAAAACACGAATACCTAAGGCTAAACCAGTACCTTAANGAAGGTGGGAGAAGGGCTTTGCGAAGGGGCTTATAACTCACAAAAAACATAAAACACGAATACCTAAGGCTAAACCAGTACCTTAAGTCCTCCTGTACCGAGTGGCATGGCTGCTTCTGCCTCAGGCGTTCCATTTCCTCCTTCTTTTCCGAGATAGATTCGGCGAATGCCTGGACGAGCTTCCACACCTCACAGTTTCCCAACATCAGGTCCACCAAGGACTCGGCTAGGATCGTGTACCCCGTGGACACGGCAACGCTGGCCAGGGTGTCCTCCAATGAGATAGTACTAATTGTTGGGGAGATCTCCTTGCGACTAAACGCAAGGAATCGTCCACCCCAGTTCCGCAATCTCTACTACATTAAAAAGTGCTTGCCAAACCACCCCTAGATGCGCTCCGTAATCTCTCCAATATAGATATAATATAGACTATATTATATTTTTGTAATAATAGATCAAGAAATTCATAGCTAAACCAAACATTACAAAAATGCTTTGTTTTCAGTTTTACAAAATAATGACCTATATTACAAAAGCTATAACATATTGAAAAGTGTATGGATCCACACAATTTTTTTTATGAGAAATAATATTTTATAATAAACCCTTTTTCATTCGACATACTTTATCTTAATCAAGATATTAATAAGAGCTAGCAGATCATGTAGCTTTTAGAATAAAACACCAATTTTTTTAAAATTAATCACTATCTATGATTTGTATCGAAGCGTTTATTTTTGATAGTGATTTTAATCACTGTCACATATCATTATACTTGATCCAACTATACCACGGCACCACTGTGCCGCGACCCCCCTGTGCTGGGTTTTTTTTATATTAAAGCCTTAGGTATTTTCCTTTTATTTGATATAATTTTTTAAACGCTTTATCTATTTACAGGGGGGATTCAAAATGACAACTTTTTCACAAAAAATTAACTTTTAAAACTTAACTTTTGACAGTGTTCCGTAAATACTGCGTTCTTTAAATATATGTTAAATTAAAAATAATTTTACTTACTATAAATTTAAAAAAAAAAATTTGTCCTATCTCGTCTTTTGCGTGAAAATGGATGTCGTATTTAAAAACATGCTATTATTATGTTCAAATTTTATTTTTATTTTGTTTATTTTAAAATACAATTTTTTATGATTTCTACATAAAAATTACAACACTAAATTATTAAATATTTATTCATATCTGATACTTATAAATTGTTTTTATAAATTATTTTTAATAATGTTATGGCAATTTTAAATAAAATTTTTTTTAAAAATTAGCGTATTTTAAATTAGTATTTTCTTGTGGGATTCCCATGCTTGGCGAATGAGGTGAGTTTTCTAATTTTTATGGGTAATCCCTTTAACTAGATACAATTTGTGATCTTTTGAAGTAACGTAAAAAAGACTTGGCTCAGTGAGAGATGAGAAAAATTAATGGCAGACACAAAAAAACAAATAATTGTAAATTTAATATATTCTCAGATTTGATTTGAGGCGAAAGTATATTTAACTAATTAATTGAATGTAGTTTTTAAGTATATCTATAGTGTATAGCATGTAATAAGTACTAACATGTGTGAATGTTATAAATTTGGAATAATTTATTTATGTTTTAATGCGCAAAACAACAAATATGACGTTTTCGAAAGTTTAAAAATAAAGTCATTATGATTTAAATATATATATCAAAATGATCATCATTATTGTTAACACAAATAATATTTGTACAAAAATTATAATTGAACACTTTTGACGTAAAAATATTAATATTTCCAATAAAACTTGAAAAAAATGATTCCATTTCAAAACTAATTGTATATTTTAATTTTTTCTTCGATAAAACTACTAACCTTCTTTTATCAATAGATTTTTCATAGTAACCAAATTGTTAACAAATGAAAGAATAACTTGACTATTACAGCAACAGGTAAAAATGAATTTTTTTAGCAAAATGCACATTGTTTTACTTAGAATAATAATTTCAAATGTTATTATTGTTTATACTAATGATGAATTGAGTCAGAATACTGAAAATCAACAATATATCACTATTAATGATTTGAATAAACTCATCAGGGAGTATCCTGCATTTCTGCAGTTGACATTACAAAAACAAGATTATTACACAGGAAAAGATGTACTTCGTTGTCCTATGCCTTACAACGAAAATACTATAATAGATGATAATGATGTTGTGCATTCTAAGTATTTCAACCCTAGAGAATGTAAAAAACCTTGGACTTGGACACAAAAAAATGAAATAGATGTTCCTGTGTCCATTGATGATACCATTGGTAAAAAATTAGGAAATATTATTAAACCGTGTATTAAAAACAATACCAATATTATCCAATGTTATACACACTATCTGAATGTTATGGAAAGCGTTGGTTTAACATTAGTAGACAGATATTGTTTGTTTGAACTTGAAGTTTGGGCAATGCTTGAAAAATTGGAGGTGAATGTAGATTTTAAACAATATTATAGTTTATTCACAATTAAAATTAATTATGAAGTAGTAAAATTGATTGTAGATGAATTTAAAAAACTTTTAAATAATATTTCTTTTGCATTTAAAAAATATTATATTTCTACTCTACCACTGGATTGTGTTGAAAATGTTTTAGAGAAAATGTTTTCATATTCTGGCGAACTGTGTGAAGATATAATATTTAAAAAACATTTTAAAAAATGTCGGAAATTAATGAAAACAAAAAAAAATTATGCTATTTTAGACAATGATCAATATTGGAACTGGGATATTACTTCTGATTGCAAACCTGACGACACTTTAATAATGAACACGCAATACATAAATACTGTACTAGGATTAAATCTATTTCCGAACAAGGAACAAAAATAATTTACCAAAAAATAATTTGATGGTCATTCAATAATATTTACACAATATGGAAACAATTATTTGGCATTATATCTTTTTGCTTTTAACAAAAATAAATAAATTAAAACAAATAAAATATATTTTTTATAAACTAACGAACACATTTTTAAACATCTCTTTTGTCTAAAATATGAATTAGCTTTTAAATTAATTTGTCTGTTATTAGGATTAATCTATTAACAGTAGGATGAAAAAGGTAATTCTAGGCCCTCTCCGTTTCAGCCACCCACCCCACCATCATGATTATAGGTGAAAAGGGGTTGAGGGGGAGGTAAAATCCAACGTAAACTATCATATTTCAACGGGAGGGGGAACGACGAAACCCAACGTTTACTAACCTAAGAAGAACCTTTCCTCCTCCACCAAGTCTTATGAGAGAGGGGTAACGAAACTTAAGGTAAACTAATCTAATGGTGTAGGGGGGGATGAAACACAACATAAACTAACACAACTTGTCACGCGCCTAAATTATGCTCGGTCATATAGTATATACATGATATCGGTTTTTTGACGGAAAAAAAAATGCATTTTCCAGGTAAGCTATACGGTTACGGTTAAAAGTACAAATTTTATACGTCGAATCTGNTTTAAAGGACAAATTTTATACGTCGAATCTGTTATTTTGATATGCGACATGCACACATTTAGATAAAGTCCATACGTAAAATGTTAATTTTACCTAATTTGTAAAAAAAAAAAATAGTTCAAAAAATTGTGTGCCAGATGGCTGTATTCATGATTACACTATAGCACTTGAGATTAATACAGCAGATGGCTCAACGCGTCGGCGGCGGCGATGTCGCCATCAATTACATTAATTGTTAATATGCGAGTTAATAAGCTTTTCGTATAGTGAATAATAAATCAGTATTTTTTTTTTTTTTTAGACAATATATAATAATGACGACTGTTCAAGTTTTCTTATAGCAAAACACATTCTTAAATAAACACTACTACCGCCGCTGCCGTCGACGACGACGTAATCACTGGAACATATATATTATAATGTTTATAATATTATTATAATCTGTATTATACTTTTCGATTAATGTCGTACTATATTATATAGTATTATATTAAATATATTATAATAATTATACCTCATCCGTTATCACGAATTAATTGTCTAACAGATGTTTGGAAAGGAGCGGGGCATCAGCATATCATTGTATGCTGACATCTAATAGGTTTTTAGTATTTGTTAATCTATTGNTTGTCTAACAGATGTTTGGAAAGGAGAGGGGCATCAGCATATCATTGTATGCTGACATCTAATAGGTTTTTAGTATTTGTTAATCTATTGTACGCGCAAGATGTATTATTTTAATGATATATCGGATAAATTGAATTTTCTTGTTGAAAACGATCCGACGGATAGAGTTTTCAAACTAGAGATTTACAATATTATTTTAACGTCTAGGCGATAAAATCAATGGTGTAGGTGGAGAATTTTTACATTACAAATGTTGTGAATTATCGGATGCGGGAAAAAATTCGAACAATCCTGAATGTGCATGCTCTGTTGTGAAGCGAATATATTACGAACTTTTGGATTCAATTGAAACAATTGAAAAGACGTCGAATGCGAACCACAGTGACAGTAACGCCTATTGGAGTTGGAGACTATAATCACAATGGCTACTAAGGTGTAAATTCAATATAATCAATGACTTGATCGATTTATCAATGTATAGAATTTCACAAATGTCTCGCTTATACATTGGTCTGGACCGGACGATTGATTTTGGCTAAAAGTCATGTTGGTAAACAATCATCAGGAACTTATTATCACTGTCGATTTACTACATAGAATGTATTCAATGTGCGGATATATTTTATCGATAACAGAAAATTTAAACGGAATAATACTTTTGCAAGATGAATACATTAAGGCGAGTCTGATACAGAGGAGACTAACCCAAGAAGTTGCATTATTGTTTCAGTCAAAACGTGATGATTGCCGCGTATTTTCGATTAAAAAAACTGAATTTGCGCAATTGCACTTCATTAAAGATTTGTTATTTGAGAAAATACATCGATAATTGTTTCATATACGTCCGCGTATTATACGTGAAATGAAGCTTATACTTCACACTTCAATTGATCGTATGGTGGTCGAAAAGAAACCGATAATTTTTAGCCAAATTAAAACATTGGATTTTTTATATTTCCACGAAATTTGTCGTACGGAGTTTATGGGTAAATGTTTAGAAAATACATCGAAAATTATCTTCAGCGATTATCTACACATGAAAGTATGTTTAAAAATATTTGATTTTTTTCATCTTAAAACTTAAACTTAAAAATTTTCAGCTTGTGTATTACTTCTCCAATCTGGTGGAATTGGCTACAAACAGATCATTTCTAGGAATNCGATTATCTACACATGAAAGTATGTTTAAAAATATTTGATTTTTTTCATCTTAAAACTTAAACTTAAAAATTTTCATCTTGTGTATTACTTCTCCAATCTGGTGGAATTGGCTACAAACAGATCATTTCTAGGAATAGATACTTTGCCTAAAATTGACAAGAAAGATCTCCTACGCGCAGTCAAATTCGAAGATGATTGAAATAAAATAACAAGTTTACAAAACAACTAGTTTTTTTATTAAAAAAAAAATGTTTATATTTTTATACATTTTTTGTTTCTATATTATATTGTAAATTGTACAATAATGAAAAATTAATTTTTATTTACATTAAAGTTTTCGTACTTCTCCCGTGAATGAGTTGTATTCCATTTGACAGTCATGAATAATTACACAATACAATGATGTTTTATCGGGAAACTGTTTGTAGCATTCGAAATCCAAGCGTAGATCAACATTTGAAGTCTTGACGGCATCGTTTTGTTTAGAACAATCGATCACTACTATGGGTCCACGTTTTTTGTAATTTATATAGTCCAGTAAAGAATAGGGGTCTTTACGACCGTAATACATTGTCTGGAATTGTGCGTACGAGTTATAAAACGTTGTGTACTTTTTGTTGTCGAAATCGGCGTTTTGGTTCTTGTACGGGTATTCGTCAGCGTTCAGATACGCTTTGACGTTTCTCAATAAACAGTGATTGAAATCTCCGAGAACGTGTTCGTCCTCATTACCCATGGCAATAAGTAAATATCTAGGTTTTTCCACATTCGAATAGGTACGCACCGACCACGTGTGATGAGTTGTCTGCGGTACCAATGGGTAAACGGCAACGTCCCAGTGTTGAAATTCTAACGGAAGCCATTTTTTGCTGTCCAGAATACGCATCAGACCCAGTTCAGTTTTCACACTGGTTTCAAAGTACTTTACTACCCATTTGATTTTCGATATTTTCACGTTGATTTGTTTTATCAACATTGCAACTTGCGCTTTATCGTCTGTTGTTGTTGTTGTCTGTGGAACAAATAATACGACAGTGCTGTCGGTACTCGATCTATTCAACACGAGGGTCTGAGTACAGTTTATCAGTGTGCGCCGATACCGTTCAAAAAATCCAATGCACATAGATAATGGACATTGCGCCACAAATTCAGCCCCATCGACGAAATCGTTGTTGTGCAAGATTTGCGCGTATTTCCATCCGGCAGGTTGTAATCGTCGAATGTCATTGGGTGTGAATGAACAATATCCCTTGATGGTTGTAGCCATCCCAACGTATTTTATCTTGTCTACTTCTTTACCATTTACCTCAAATCTGATTTCATCGAATAGGTGCATGAGAAAATTTTGCCCCATAACCATTTCACCGGCTGTTCCAGCTGGTGGTTTTTCTAGTTTTCCTTCCATTTGCATATAACTTTCGCACGGCACGGTGAATTTCTCCTTGTTGCGCACCTCGATACGGATTTCATCGCTGTGTTCATACGAGTTGTTGTAACTCTGATGTTCCAGATAGTACTCGCGTTTTACACTGTCGTCTTACTGACATTTTTCCAACACGTGTAAGTACTCTGCCATGATTTTAAAAATTCAATATTTTTCTTTGTTAGTTGCTGCTGCGATAGCGTCGCACGATTATCCGGTTGCTCCGTCGTAGAGTATATGCCATCACTCAAATGATGGTGCACTACACTCCTGTTGAAACTCAGAGGCATTTAAAGAGTGTCAACACGTTTTTCCAGTATAAAGACACGGTCGTCGACTGAATAAAGTTCTCGAGCCAGTGCTTCCAAACGATAAATTGTGGCTGAACTGTTGTTGTTGTTGCTGTTGTCACTGTTTATCAGCTGACAGCTGTTGACGGATGTTTGAAGGAGTAGTAATAGTTGCACGACTGTGACTAGTATGCACAAAAATAATCCAATTTGTGAGGAATCAAACTGTTTTATACGGTCCCATAACGTCATCGTANATGTTTTATACGATCCCATAACGTCATCGTACTGTCATCTATCCTGTTTGATGTGTAGACGCACTGTTAATTTTTCACCTCTTAGATTGACACGTTGACCGTCCTGATCGAGCAATGCGATTCGAATCGTGTTCAATACGTTTGTGTTAAACGGATGGTAAACTACTTGTCTGGGACACTCAATAATCCGGTAGCCCGGCGGTACGTTTGGAAATAATTCGTGCAATGTATGCGATTGACGTCCTCCGTGGTACGAACCAATAATTATATTGCAGTCGACTCGTATGCATGTCACCTTTGTTATAGATAACGGGAAATCCAACGTGTGTTTCATTTTTGGTGCCAATACACGAGGTCGGAATCCTAGTATACGACCGATTGATTGCGGGTGTGTAAAATCTATGGGGTGATCGCATTTGATTATGCTTCGCATAGTGTTGCGGTCGGCTGTAAAAGAGATAACGTTTCGATCACCCAACCTTTTGTCACCGATTTCTCTGCTGTTTTCCTTGAGTAAACCAACCGTTGGCAACAATGGATCATCAAAATCTATTTGTTGTTGTTGCACACTGTACTTATACTCTTCTCNAATCTATTTTTTGTTGTTGCATACTGTACTTATACTGTTCTCCGTTGTACTTGTCCGTGATTCGTTTCTGTAAATCTTCAAATTCGTACGATCCCGTCAATAGTGTTATCATCATAATTGGTTTGTCAACAGTGCCGAAAATGAATTTGTTACAATCCTCGTCAATATTAGGTATAGTGTTCCACGTATGCAAGCTCAATAGCCCAATTTTACATTTGTCACCGACATCGATGGGTGGATTGAATGTGCATTGCAATTCAGATCCCACGCCGGTTAACGTTACCGTTGTTGTCATGTTGTTGTTGTTGTTCGATTAAAAATTCCAAACACAAGTGAACACAATTTACCTCGTCGAAGTTTTGACATTTACTATAGTTGTGCATGATTGTACATCCTTCAAAGTATCGTTGCAGTTCCAACAGTGGTCGTAAATTACCAAAACTGTCAAAATACGTAACACGTTTACCGCGTTTACTATAAGCTATCCAATGCGTGCCAGGGTTAGTGGAAAGATCCAAGTTCACTACAGCCATTTCGGTCATTTTCGGTCCCGACTTAGGTAATCTGTCACGACAAAACACGCCACGGAACACTTTATGGTCGAACGCTCGACTACCGAAATTTGCAATTTCAACATCGTACAAGGCACGATCGGGTAGCTGCGAAATTAGTTTTTTGTTTTTTTCGTCTGATTTTTTCGAATCATCTTTTTCGTACTCGTCGTCAATTTGAAACCAGACCCCGATTTGTATGGTTGCAAGTAAAATCCTTTACCCATGCTTATCGCTGTATTGCCTTTACGGCTAAGTTCGGTAGCCATCTTGACCACATTTGCAGCACCGCCGGCTAAAGCTCCCAACGCCGACAGTCCGGCAAATATAGGTATAAGCGGTAGTACACCGCCTTTAGTTTTCGGAACGTTTATGGTACGGGGCAGTGGAATTTTTTTCTTTCTCACCACACGTCGTGCAGCCTTCAACGATTGTTTTGCCACACTTAGTAATTCCATTTGCTCAGCATTTTTATCGATTTTGGCGGCACGCACGACTCGTTTGAAACCAATACCGAGTTTACGTTTCAATTTCATCGCATTGGTCACACCCCAAGCTGCGACTCGTTTAGGCAATTTAGCGTCTTTGGCCAACACTCGTTCCCAAGCCTGATGTTCCAACACCTTGTCCGCTTTATGACTGTCTTCGAGATTCTTGTATTTACTATAAATGATATCGTGGTTGCGGAAAGCAGCATCAAGCGGGTTCACCCCAACATCACCTCGCTTTAATCTCTTTTCTAACCGTGTTCCAGGACCCGCAAATTGATAACCTAAATGATAAACATTTAAAATAATGATAAAACTATTTGCGAGGAATTATTTTGAATAATTACACACACACACCTGGAATGTGGGCTTTAAATGGTAATTTGTTGATTACAGTATTCAATATCCCTGCTCCTCGTTTTCCATCTTGTCACTGTTTAACCATTATTTTCATATTGACGATTATTGTTCGATTCGCAGTGATTTGTTTGGACTTTGTGCGGGACGACGGTCGATACAGATACAAGTTTGACACATTTGTTACAATATGAGTGCCGATAAGGAAATATTGCTGAAACTGTTGATTGAAGCCTGGGAAAATGTTCAAAAAAAGTACACAGAATTGCGTCGTGGCGAAGAGGATTCGTTGACTCACGTAAAACGTCAGTTGGCGTCAATCATTGAACCATTAGATAAAATTGCGTCACAGCAACAGCAACAACAGCAAAAACAACAACAACAACAACAACAACAACAATTACAGCACACTATCAAAAGTTTAAACGATGATATATACACTGTGGAACACGATGACGGGTTTTTCCATCAGTACATGTATCAATGGTCAATGAACCCCAACAGAGATAAAATGTATGGACCAAAGGTATCACCGGATGGAACAATGACATTAAGTGAAGCCGACAATATCTTTTTCGACAGAGAAACAATTAATGTTTTAGATGAAAAATTCCCGCTGACTATGGGTCTTGTGGATTTACTGTTTTCGAAAAACCCTGATGTTTACTCCGAATCGGATTTGCATGCATACAAAACGATTCTCGGCAAAACCGGCGTGCATTTAAATAAAGACGGAATATTGAAAAAAGGTGGTCAAAAGTATGTAAACACCATTAAACCATTGTTTGATAACGATGATGGTGGTAACCCAAACAATTCCTTACCCTTGTTTGAAAGCAGCAGCAGCAACATCAGTGACACATCCATTATCGGTGCGGGTGTACAATTGAGATTGAACAACAAGAAAAAAGATTACGTGTACTGGGACGACCCCAACGAGCTTGTGGAACGTTTACGTTTATTGATATCAGCCCGGTCGGTTGGCAACACTGGAGTTTCACCGGAAATCGTTTCTATATTAGAAGAGCTGCAGGAAGCCGGTTACATTGAACAGATACCAGCGGCGTTATGAATTGCTAAGGAACTCCATCGGCAGGGCCGTAGGACATACACTCGTGTTCGACTTAATATCAAGGGTCTGGATGATATATTGCACGCTGACCTCGTGGAAATGCGCACATACCCTGATCGACGACATCGGTATATTTTAACGTGCGTCGATGGATTTTCAAAATACGCGTGGGCCGTCCTGTCGAAAAATAAAACGGCCAACGAAGTTACCGCAGCCATGAACGGAATACTGAAACATGGTCATCATCCTAAGCTTTTGCAAACGGACAATGGTAAAGAATTTTACAATAAACAATTTCAAAAACTGATGTCACAATACACAATCAATCATTACTCTACTTATTTCACGATGAAAGCGTGTCTAGTGGAATGTTTTAACCTCACGCTGAAAAACGCAATGTGGCGTGACTTTAGTGCACGTGGCTCGTACAAATGGGTGAATCGGTTGTCTGCGCTGTTTCACGACTACAATAACGTGCGTAAACATAGAACAATCGGAATGACACCGAACATACTATCTAGAAGACTATCAGGGAAATCCAATACGTGGTTTGTTTTACACCGAAGAGCTGAACAAGACCAGTTATCCGGACATGTATTTAGTCGAACGAGTGTTGCGAACACGAGGGGACCAGTGCTTCGTTAAATGGTTAGGATTTGGTTCAGAGCACAATTCATGGATACCGAAAACCAATATCTCACCTCAATGATTGTCGATATACAAGATATTGTGGCAGCTGACCTATCGTTTTTGGTCAAGGAACTGACTGTCATTGCCATTGACTGTACTTCTTTCGCTCATTGGATGTTCAAACATCCAAAATGTAACGAGGGTGATGCTAAAACAAACTTTTGGTTGAAAAAATACCTACATGGAATGGATACTCGTTGCGGTGATGTTGAATACAATGAGTTGCCGAGAATCATGAAACTGTTGCGGTGCGAGACCATTTACGTGAAGGGAGCTGTGAAAAAGTGAGTAGTGGAAAAGTACATACCGGGACAACGTATAGTCAACGTTGAGGATTTGGACTGCCCGTCGTTGTACAATTTAAGTTGTGTTACAAAAATGTGTTGTATCCGACACATGAACAACCCGACCGTGTGTAGTTTATACAAGGCAATTTGCTTAAAACAGTGGATGAATTATAATATGTAACATTATTGTCAAAAAATGATTTTGTAATATTCTCATTTGTATTCTTACAATAAATATATTTTCCATAAATAAAATGTATATTAATGATTATAGTAAAATAAAATAAATATTTCTAAAATACGTGTAGTACTTATTATAGGTTATTAATACCTATTGTATAATAATCTGGTATTATCAATATGCAAAATGGGTAATTATTTTTGTTTTTATTATAAAAATAGATATTTATTAACCATTTATTATAATATGAATTCTAAATTACATTTATTTACAATTTTAATTCAGTAAAATATTACATTAAAAAATCTTAAAACTATATATACAACACTTATATTTACAAAAAACCTTATCATAAAATTCAATTACACGATTTAGCATACAATATATTTTACATTTGTCAATATGGATATTTAAAGAATTTTACAATATTATTGCTATTATAAAAAATAATGTTGATCAAATTTCTTCCGGTGGAATGGCATAATGACCGTAAGCCAACGTAAGTCAACTATATTATCGAGCGTGTAGCGCTTATCGTCGAAACGGTTAAGCGCCAACTTGGTTGTACGTAAAGTATGTACTTCGTGCTCGAAAGAACGAATTGACACGTTCTGCCGGTACGTAGTGTACGGTAGTGATAATGTCTGTGGAATCTCACCATCACGTACGGCTCCGATGACTACACGGGCATTCTCTCCGGCCAACGCTCGTTTTGACGCATCGTCGCTATCGTTATCGTCTTCAAACAAACATCGTTTGTAATCGTCCAAAGACAAATGGTTGCGGATGACGTGTCCGCGGATCCCCTTAGACTTGATGAGTTCGCTGCCTTCCATATCATATGCGTAGCACTTTGATCGAAGTGCAGCGATCTCAAAAAGGGTGAGGCCATCGGTCTCGTCTGAAAACAGACCAGGCGTCTTCTTCCTCGAGGTCAAGTAACAAGAGTGATCCTCAGGCAGGCTAGATGCGTCCACGCGCACTAGTAAATCAGGACTGTCGGCTAAATCCTGGTAAAAGTCTCTGACTCTGAGCAGGTATATGAAGGAGTCTGAAAAAAATTGAAAATATATAAATATAGTAAAAATATTTCTGCTGTACGGTTGTACTCACCAGTATCCATGTAAACCAGGCTGATTGCGTCACCATAATGAGGTTTTAATACGTCGTAGAAGTACTTGTACATTAGCGACTTGCTAATGTCAAGCACTGCTAAACCGACGAATATTGGTTTGATAAACTTGACAATCTTTGTGTCCATTATGACGGCGCACAAGCTTTCGCCGTATTTGATACAGTCGTTGAAGGTTGGTTGGTTTACGAGCTTGCTTAGACGTTCGGGACTGGAGATTAGCTCAGAGATGTGTTTCCCCATGTTCTCCATTGTTTTCCCTATAAAATGTAAATATTTATCGAATAACCCACAACTGCTTTAGCATTGAGCGTGCACTTACCAAAGACGGCATTATTCATTAATTTGAAAAATGCTATTTCAAAAATATTTGCTGCTTGTTTCCGCATTTCAGTGTTCAACTTAATGTACGGTTTCAACCAAGCACTTTGTTGAAACTCTAAAACGCGGTGCACCTGTGTGACAAGCATATTAATATCATAGCTAATAGCTCTAGGTACGATGTATATACTTTATCGACTTGCAGTCCGTGTGCAATCGCCTGTTTCAAGTTGACATAGTGTATGACGTACCGTTGTTTGGGTTTCAAAGTGGCTATAAGTTTGGTCTCTTTGGAATCGGTGGTACATCGTTGCCAGGCAAGAACGGCAAGTCGTTGTGCTCGTCATGCAGCTTTTCTGGATACGATACGTCCACTTCATATATACGCCCCGTATTACCAGTGTCCGAAATCAATTGAAGGTCGGTCAGAGGATCAGCTCCTTCATACCACCGGAAGCCTCCGTATGGCATGAGCTGACTCATAGCCCAACCGTACAGGTTATTGCCTGTAATTATTTTTAACGTTCTTAAATTACCACTCATTTATTACACTTATACATAATACTTACAGTCTTGGTAGACGATCCATGAGTCTGGTTTTGTCGAATCGTAATCCGGTGTCTTCGGATTATTAGCCTTGGCATAGTGCTTGACGGCTTGCACCAGCCCACCACGAATACCCTGTTCCACCATCAGTAGCATGTCGTAGTTGTTTAAGAGCTCCAGCTTCACCCTGGTGTACTTCAACATACAATCGAAGCTAAAACCCGGTGCGGTATAATAGTGTGCCGGGTCTAAATTGTATGTTGTAGTACAGATGTCGCGAAAATACTCAAAAACGTCATCCAACAACAGCACGTCGATCTTTAGGTATAGGTCGCTGTACTCACCGAGGGTTGAGCAGCTGAAACGGTTCCACACCTCAGTGGTGTGCCTATAGTCGTCGTCATCGATATTCGACTCATTCAACTGACTATAGAAAGCGTCGCGGGGTGGTAGTACCGTTTCGTCCAATTTAGCCCAACTATCAGTGTACTCGTAGGGGTATACGCCCTTACGCGTCACCAACGGCATATCTTCAGGGCGGAACACCTTGGCCGTCTCCCGAAATTAAACGAAGTCGGGTGTCATTAGGTTACCGGCCAAGGTGGACAGGGAGGAGGCCATGAACCGGAAGGTGTCGACAAACCGTATGGAGAAGTTATTGGTCACGTATTTCGTGACCAAAATATACTTCTCCTTGGAATTCGGTATGACCGAAATCCTTTGGTCGTCGTACCCCAATTCAGTGACGATGAAATGCACGTCGTAACCCGAAAGATTGTGCAAGAAGCACGGCACAAAGTTAACAGTCTTCACTTTCAGGTTAGACGCATTGCACAACGTCTGTCTGAATCGGCCCGATAGATGGCAGTGGTCTGCGACTTTGGGGTTGGAATCTTTGAATGCCGTGCGACATAAGTCACATAGCACTTTTTCCCCATGCCTGCGCACATCATCGACAGACATTCAGATGGGAACGTTAGTTTTACGCAACAATTTGGAAATGTTGTGCGTCACTTCCGTTACAGCCATTACGAATGCCTTGGCAACCTCTTCGCGATCCTCAGAGCCACGGTATATCACCGGTGATTGCGGTATACCGTAGAGTTTGAGGAGCTCGGAGGGCACAACGTCCGATGTTTTTACCATGAACCCGTAGCTCATGGGATGGTGTGTGTGCAGAGTCCTAGTATAGGCACCTATACGATTGTCTGTTTGCTCCAGCAAGGCCTCAAAATCAGCGTAGATGGCAATCGGTAACCGTTGCGTCTTTACCCACGCGTCAAAGGCGACCTTACTACCCTCTGCCGGCATAACGAGTAAAATTGGTTTATTCTTGCCGCATATTAATTTATGTTGCTCTAACGCTTGATGACCTTGAAGAATATTCTTTTTAGACTGATCATCAAAACTGGTGAAGCAACGTCTGCAAGTGTATATGCGTTTTTTGGCTGTGCACGAGCCTCGAAAAATCTGAAATGTACGATGTAGAACAGGTCAAAATTATTTTGTTGCTCTTGGTCGGCAACTCTTAGCGGATATACCGACCACTTCATCTTAACGTTGTCCCGTTCCAAGCCGTACACGTTGACGGACACGTTAGAGTTACGTCGTTCAAATATTTTAATTTAGGACACAGGTGTGGGGAACGTCAACCTCGTGAAATCATACCTGTGTTCCTCGATATTTGTGATCTCCCTTAACGTGTCTCGCTAAAATGGACCACTTGAAACAGGACTGAATGTTTTTTGGGTTGATAATTGCTCTTCTATGGAAAATTTCGGGTGGGACCGGAATATATGATGAGCCGGTGAGGGGCGTATATTTGTATACGCTGAGCATGAATCCGTCGATATGCGCTAGCGTGAATCCGCTACCCCTACCCGAGTACACGTCTTCCTCAGCGAACATAATCTCGAAATCGTCATTAACCGCACCTACAATATCCGTGTCGGACAACAACGCCCTAGGTCGTGTCTTGAAGGCACGGTCCTCGGGCGGTGCATCCGATCGCGGTATATGGTAAGAGGCCTTCAATTTAAGATTATATTTAATAGAACGAACAGCTGTAATTTCATCGAGTTTGGCAACCAGCTCGGGTTTAACGGCGCGCGGAAAATCTCGATAGCTCGGGAAATTTTCCATGGTTTTCCAATAAAACTAAACGGTTCCTCGCTTCAATGCGGAATCAATCTCGATGAAATTTTTCGCGTCCGATAATTGTATACACAACCTTTTCGATTTTACCCTACTGTTGTTAGCCCTACGTTTAACCGAATGATGGTGTGGAACAGTCGCGGAAGAGGTGGCTGTGAAAAAATGTGTAAAAACAATTTGTGTGTCGAAAATATCGAAATATTCAATTAAAAAAACTTACCTTATGCAGCACCAGTAAAATGTACATCAACCATTGTTATTCGATTTTAAATTTAAATAAAAAATAAATACGAGTACTTGTATACGTTTAACAGAATATTTTTAAATATATGTTAACTAGCCGTTAATAACGCCTAGTCGAAGAGTGAATATAATCTTTATTGATGTCTTTATAAATACGGATTGTTACTGTATTATCCGCTGCACCAGTGATGGTGGTGCATGGTCATTAATCGCACAAGTACATCGTATATCACGAGCAAAATGACCAAAGTATAACAAGTGGTCTGAGAAAAACTATTCAGGTTTCTACATGTTATACAGCACTTGTTACATTACATTTTTTTTTATAAACGCCACCCAAGACAATTAATTGATAAATTGAATCGTCATTTGTAATAGCGTGAAAACATTCAGACTTAAAGTGAAATGTTTACACATATATATCATTAGGATTTAAAACAGATGCCTTTGTAAAAATTATGACCGTCTGCCGTCTCTAATGCGTTGACGGATGAAGAATGCAATCCATCCAGTCAAAGCTATTATTATATTAAAAATAATTAATTACAGTTGTAACGTCACAAATTCGAAGGTGGACCGTTTATGATTTTTTGTTATGTCTACTTATTTATTTTATCGCGCGAAAGAACCTTTTTCTGTCACAGCGGTGTCAACCACTCATTATTTTGCCTCTGACCGCTAGATAAGGCGATAAAAGAGAAATATAATTAAAATCGAATTGTTTATCAGTATTGATCCCTTCCAAAAAGACTGGCCGTTATCGATATGAAATTGCCGTTAGATCGGTGTTGACTCTTCTCTATTCTTTCTTCTGTCATTGACCGTGCTAGGGTGCACACATTTGTTGTTTTATTGACATATTTTTCAATGATGGAGTAGAACCGCCAACGGCGAACGGCCAGATCTTTTCGGCGGAGCATCCAGACCATCGGATGGGTCTCTTCGGAGACCGGGTATCGTTTTCTTTTTT